CTGCGCGGTGGCGGCGCCGCTCGGGCCCGGGGCGGCGGGAGCCGGACGAGACACCCCCCCCCGCCACTTCCCGTTCCCCCGACACCCTCCGGTCCCCGGGGAGCGCCGGCACCGCAGGGAGCCAAAGCAGCGCCGGTTCCCCGTTCCCCGGCCGCCTCCCGCCCCACAGAGCAGCACGGGCAGCCAGTCCGTTCTACACACTTTATTGGGCTGAGCGCTGGACAAATCACAGAGTGTACAAAATGGAGACCACACGACCAGAAGCGGGGCTGGGGGCGGCAGCAGCATTCCTACGGCCCAGAAGCGTTGGGTGGGGGGACAGGCTGGGGGCTCTCACTGCCGACTGCATCTCGGTCCCCCGGGACAGACCCCCCCGCCCCCCGGGGCTCGGCTGTGTCCCCCGGGACAGGGGGGCGCCCGTTCCCCGCTCCTTAGGAAGGGAGGGGGGGGCGCAGCCGGCAGCGGGGGGGGGGGAGCGCTGCAGGGACCCGGAATGCTGCGCCGCCCACCTACACACCAGCAAGAGTCTAAACCCTCATCCTTTTTGGTCACAAGCTTTCCCGCGGCAGGACTCTACACTGACAGCTTCGCAAGTAATAGGAGGTGGTGGTGAGGCGCGGTCTGCCTCCCCGCCGGGGGGGCCCGCACACTCACCCCCCCACATCTCAGACTGGTCAGCAACATCTACCACAACAGCAACAGCTAGTACAGAAGCCAGGGTAACTTCAACTCAGATTTGTCCAGTCTACGTTTATGTCTATTCTACGAGTACATATGCACAAGAACTTCAAAAATACTAGGATATGATGCAAGTAGTGAGACACCAACAGAAGAGGAGTTTAATGGTGGACGTTCCCTAGAAAGATCAGGAGAGGATGGGAGTTAGACTAGCCCTTCCCCACCCTGGGAGGGGGAGCGGGGACTGAGGGCACCCCTGCGCAGGACGGGGCTCTGAGCTCCTGCAGCCCGGGTGGGAACTGAGCACAGCGGGCGAGTCCGCACCCAGGGCGAGCTGCAGGGTCTTCCACACTGCACAGAGGGGCCAGGCAGATGCTTTCTCTGAATGTAGTTGAAGACTGAGGAGAGGCAGAGGATGGCTTGGAGAAGAGGGGGCCTGCCAGCCTGCTGGGGCTAGCATCTGGTCTCGTAGATCCCGCTCCTGCCGATGTACCTCACCCATTTTATCACATCGTGGTCACTGTAGTTCAGCTTTGGCTCAAAGACTTTCAGGTAGCGCACCTTCAGCCCAGAGGGTGCAAACGGGACCTATTGAGAAAGGGAAAGGCAAGGGAGAGTGTTGGAACAGAGGTCTAAGATGCTCTCCATACACAAGAGCCAGAGGACCCCTTGGCTACACATCTAAAAATGGATAGCAAGAGCCACTGTTCCCTTCCCAACTCCCTGTGCGCATGGTGACAGACTCCAGCGGCTTTAAGGACAGTTTTCTTCCACTAGCCTTGCCACCTGGCTGGCCTCGCATTAGGAGGATCCACAGGCAGCCTGGGACAGGAAGCACTCAAACGTGTGGGCTTCCCCGAGGGCAGAAGGGACTGGAGGGACAGAGCTCTGCCAAGGATAGCTGCACCCTGGGAGGCAGACCCAGACTCACCTCAAAGTTCATGGAGATCGGGGGCCGAGCCCACTTCTTCTTGTCATTGGTGGGCAGCAGCTCGATCTCCGCACTGATCTGGGATTCCTTCATTCCAGCCATGCGTTTTATCCTGTCAGAGAAAGCCCAAAGTGAGGAGGTGCACAGTTTATCCTCCCCTTCACCATGCATGCTCCAGGCAGACAGGAGCACTAAACAGACCCCTGCAGCATCCCAGCTCCACACGCTCACTCACTTCCAGACAATGGCGTTCTCACTGGCCTTGTACTTCGCCTTCCCTTTCATGCAGATGACTTGCACCCCACTGGTGTTGAGGGGTGTTGGGATCCGGACCTGGAAGGCAGAGTCTGGTGAGCAGGGCAAGGAGAGTGCAGCCTGGGCAGCCCCAGGGGAAGACACCTCCTCCCAGGAGAACTCAGCTGCTGCCCTGCACCCCTCAGCCTTCCCTCTCCCACCTCAGGGCCCAGAGAACAGCTGCCACAAGGCACCCTAAGCTAGCGCTCCAGCTTCTTGCTTCAACGTAAAGGTGCAAAGACATTTTCAAAACCCACTACAGTCAGTGAGGAACAGGGCAGAGCTCTCCAGTTCATGGCCAGCGTTGGGCCAACGAGCCCGTGCAGAACACCATGCTGCCCAGGGAGGCCTGGCTGCAGCAGGCTCTGCACAGCCTTTCCCAGAAGGGGACTAAGCTGCGAAGCCACCCTTTGCCTGTCTTACACAGCTCACAGCCTGCTGCCTGTCAGACAGACCATTGGCCACGCAGACAGCAGAACATGAACTTTTCAGCGGCCAAGACATCAAGTGAGCAGTTGCTGCAAGAAGGGAGGCCTCTGCCAAGGTGGCTATGGAACTGAACAATTTCCACCTGTCTACTCTACGCAGTTCCCTCCCACAGCACAGCAGCACCATGTATCCATGGAGCATTCTGTTCACTCTTAGTCCTGTACAGCCTGAGAACTCATCTGCGAGGACTCCACGCAGGTTACAAAACAGAGGCACAATTCCCAGGCACAAGAGGCTACCGATTTTTATTCCCTTACCTCTATCTTCTGGGCTAGCAAGGAAGGTTTGAAGTTTGATTTGATTACCACCTTCACTTCCAGCTTGGTCCGACCCACCTCCCGCACCAGCGGGATCACACGGAAGGGAAGGATAATGTCCTTAGTGGTTCGGTATCTGCAGGGACACAAACAACAGTGAACTCTGAGAAGGCATTAACTCCCTTATGGTCCCAAATTGTACCACTTTCCTAAAGGGATTTTCTAGGGAACAGCTTAGAGATGTCAGCCAGAAAGGGAGCCATCCCAGAAGGAAGCAGCAGTAAGATCTGTGCTCCCCTAGGGCAGCCATGGTGTCTTGAGTTCCAAGTTTTATATCGGGTTCCTGCCAATGGCCCTGTTCAAGGACTCCAGATTTAAGCACTAAAAACCCTGACACAGCAAGGTAAAGGGTAAGGAAACCCACACCCAACACTATCATTGTGGCAAAGAACACCATGCAGCTGGGTTTCTACCACAGCTGTAACACAGGATTTGGGGGACACCCTACAGAGCCCACTCTGAAAAGAAGGCAAGTACGTATTCGTTAGATGCTTGAGGGCTGCAAACCTGCCCGAGAGCATCACCATTAGTGCAGCAGAGAGCAGATGCCAACATCCCCTTACACACAAACACACCTGGTGTTCGTGCCCCACCACCTTACCTCATGAGCTCAAACTCTCCATCCGGTGGGATGAAGCTGATGCTTCTCTCAGAATCAAACTTGCTGAGCCTCACACACTGGTGGAAAGTGCAGTCATCGATGGCAATTGACTGTTTGCCACTAAAAAAAAACCAAACACGCGAGTTAAACAAGTGCAAGCTGCAGCCCTGGTACCTCAGTGCAAATCTGCCCAGGCAGGAACTACTCTACAGAGCGCGTTGCCATCGCAGGTGTCCAGGGAACAGGGAAGCAGGGGGACATTTAAGGGACAGCAGGCTCTTGGCTCCAACTTTTCTTGTTTCACCAAAGACCGAACTTCAGGAAGCTTGTTTAAAAGAACTCTCCCCAGCGAGGAGAGAGATGAAAGTAGCACCCTTCCTGTCACAGCCACCCTGCAGTGCTTGGGTCTGCCAGCCAGCAGCACCTCAGGGGACTCTGCGAGGCCAAGTCTTCTCGCAGCACACTTCAACAAGAGAAAACACTTTCCTGTCCACAAAGCTATCCCACTGCCACACAGCCAGGTGCCGCCAGGTTCAGGGAACTCCCACTCAGAAATCTCTTCACAGCTGTTGATTTCCACACCACTAGCAGGAAGTTTGATTCTGAACCGTTTGGTTCCACAATATTATGCCATAAAAGTTTCTCTCTCACTACTAAAAATCTACACAGCTGTCCCCTGTCCCCACGTGAGTGCACCAGCCCCACCTGCCAGCTCACCCTGAGTCCTAGTCTCTGAGATCACCTTTCTCACTACAGGTTCTGAGCCAGCCAAGAACTCCCCCTAGCTACTGAGAGGGACCAGAAAAGAAGGCAGTGGCAGCAACAGAAGAGGCAGGAGTTTAAAGAAAGTGCAGCAATACAGAATTTTGACATTTAGGCTGCCTCAACTGCTGTGAGCAACAGGACAGCCGTGCAAGTGTGCTGAGATGGTGTTAAGAACCGCAGGCAGGTCCAGTTCTCCTAGGTACCATGGCCACCTGCATAGTCAGAAGCAGACTGACCCGGCTGACTGGCTGTTGGGTTACACAACCCAGGGGGGCAGTTTGTGCTTCAGAAGTGGAGTCAGTCTCTCCTAACCTGTGGCCCAGATGACAGCCAGCACTAGCTGACTGGTTGCTGTTTCTTTAGAATGCTGCTGGGAAAGCCCTGCTGCCGAGCACTGCTCTGGGGCTCAGGCAGCGTCACTTGGGGTTTGGCATTGCCACACGATAGATGCCAAAAAGCAAGCAGCAGCAGCTGTCCCTTTTGGTCACCTCATCACTAAATGCTTCTGGAGAGTGACATCTCCAAGCTCTTGCCCACCAGAGAACCACCCTGCAAGAGTCCCTGCCCATCCTGCTTCTGTAGCTCAAGAAAACAAAACATTTACAGGCAAAGGCGCTAACAACGAAGGAGGTTTAGGACAGCATTAAGGACTCTTCAGAGCCTGACACAGATGACATTTTGACTAGGATATATCCCCACTGGGCAGACACCCATGGCTTATCCATTCTACTAGCTAGATTCAGGTGCACGAATGATGGCTTAAAGGTGACAGTGAAGCGATAGCTCTTGGCTTGGTTCTGAGAGAAAAGGCAAGTAGCAGCTCAGCTCCGTTCACAGGAACCATCGTGGAAAGTGTCTGAGATCCAAGTTACATGCACAAGTCACACGAAGCAAGAGACAAGGGGGACAGCAGAGTGCACACACAGCTGAAGCAATTATCTACCTTCCCAATTCACTGGGGGTCAGCAAAAACAAATAAAAAAAACAACCAAGAGAAACACAGTTGAGTTGAAAATGGTTAGTGAGAGAAAAGCGGTCATCCCTTTCCTTTTATCTCTTCACCCCAAGCAGGAGGTGAGGCTGGAAGAGGCATGAGACCTGTTCTCAGCCTCAGTGTGGGGTCTGGGGCACAGCTGGGCTCCCAGTAGGGGTGAGCTCCAGTTACACCAACCCCCCGAACATCAGCGGGGGGAAATCACCCAGCACTGTCTGTCAGCTACTCCAGTTCGGGGGAACAGTCCAGGCAGAGCAGGCTATGGTCAGGGGCCTCCCTCATTGCTCTGTGGGAGCACCACTGCATCACCCTATGGGTAAGAGTCTCTGCGCTGACCAGAACTGCTAGAGACACAAGTTCAGGGAAAAAACATCTTGGGAAAGTGTTTCTAGCTGTGAGAACTCTACACTTAATATGTTTGAATCTCTATACTTGAAGACCTGTAGAGAAGCCCTCTGTATTGAGCCCCTCAGGCTGGTAGCCGACACAACAGCTAACCTGCCCAGAGAAAAGCTAGCAGTAAACATCTGACAGAAGAAAAGATTGGCTTCATCTGTCAGACCAGAAAAGCTACTAAGTGCTGCCCTTTCATAAGAGCCCCTGGTGGCAAGTGGCTTTTACCCCAATGCCTCTTACCTTTTCCCCGTTTCATCCGCAGTCCCTTTGCCCTGTTTTTCAATGACAATCTTGTCATTCATGCCAAACTTGCACTCTGGCATTCCACTCAGGTAACTCTTCATCACCACTCTGCCAGAGACGTGGGCACTCAAAACCTGACCTGGTGGAGAGAAGAGCACAGTTCAGAACGCTCACACACCTGGAAGGGGAGAAGGATCCCAGTTCTACAGCTCCTGCTTACCCTGGGGGGACATCAAGAGATTAACACTCTCCAGCACATCAAGAAACAGCTCATTGCGACGATACTTGATCCCTTCACGTCTCCATCCAATCTGTCCAGTCACCTGGCTGGTGATCTGGGACTGCTCTTCCTTAGTCTGCAAGGAAGAAATGACATCTTAGACCTCTAGATGAACTCAAAGACTAAGAAAGCTTGCTCAAAATGTAAGAGCAAGTGCTTGCTTTATTACACGAGTGCTTTTGACACCTAGATATGGGTACTGTCACACCCCCACGATTTGGTCATTCTCTTCTCAGTACAGCAAATCCTATGCTCAAGTCAAAACTCGTCATAACAACCACAGGAAAGGCTCTTCCATTTTGTTAGCTAGTCCATTGGGCACACCTAGGCGCAGGGGGGTACGGGCTCCACCACCGACGTCAGATCCCGTCTCAGACTGCCACAGCAACCCGTGTTAAGCAGAGAAGCAGCTGACAGACCAGTTCACACCAGTTCCAACATGAAACCGCAGGGCCACAAGAGAGCTGGTCCCCAGGGACTGCTCCCCAGTAGCAGCAGTCATTAGTTACACACCAACACAACCCAACACACATCTAGCAGTGCCCAGGCTCTATGCCTCCTGAGAGCACTGAGGATCATGTGAAGAAGCACTGGGAGGTTTCTTTCCTACCTGATGCTACAGGCGGGATCCAGTCACACGCAGAAAGTCAGGAAGGAGATGAATAGCAGCAAGTGTGGCACACACAGGGTTAACGGGCAAGCGGGTCAGTAGCAAGAAAAAGGAGGAAGGGAGAAAGAGGCAGGTTAGGCTTAAGGCTACCTCAGGACAGGAACAAAGCAGTCCAACTCATCATTAATTAGGCAGCTAATCAGCACAAACAAGATGAGGGGCTTTGACCTTCAGCTCCCCTCAGAAAACCCAGCACTCCTAGCAGTGAAATGGCTTTTCAGACTTGACCCGTTATCATCACCCAAATACAAGGCAGAGCAGGGGCAGTGACAGACCAGCCAAATACCACTCCCAGCAACATTCCTAGGCGAGTGGACTCCTCATATCGCTGTTCTTAAAGCACACCCTGGACATTCACCATGGCACAGACACCCAGACTACGAGAAGGATGAGGCACACAGGACTGCAGGGACCTTAAGTCTAGGTCCTGTTTAATGTTATATCCTTGTTCATTCTGCCTCTTCCACCAGAACAACTGTAGAACAGAGGTGGGTCCTGCCCCAACAGCCCAGCGCTGGGAGGGCAGTACACGGTCTCGGCTTGACACCAGCAGTGGCTCAGTTTCACACACACTCCTGCCACAGACGTGGTCACTCCTTGAGCAAGCAGAGCCATTATCACAACACTAATAGGCAGAGAGCTTTATACACCCGCAGGAACTGCCCAGGTGAGTGCTCAATGCACTACTAAATACCTGCCTTGTCTGTCCCACAAAAGCAGCCTCCTTATCTTCCTTGTTCAATGCTTTGTTCAGGCTTAAGAAGAATAAGAGAGGTAGATATAATAGTTCTCTGGCTTCCAAAGGGACACGGATCACATGCTGATGTTCCATCTCCTGCAACAGCATCAGTGCCATGACCCTCTTACTAGTCGCTACAGCAAGCGAGCAGATGGATGCGGGAGCAAAGGCTGGGATTACCCAGCAGCACAAGCATTCCCTCAGGACTGGAAGCTTCCCTGAGGATGAGTAGGTCAGCTCAAAGGGGACAAGAACATCCCATTTGTGGTACTCGGTTACCAGCATGTTGACCAGGTTCAAGGCAGACACCCACCAGCAGGTTGCATGGGCTCTGGCTGGTGGCAGCCCTCTTCCCATTCTAAAAAGTACTACCAGCATTTTAGCACCACAGTATCTCTAAGGTTTGGGGTAATACCGCAACTAAGAGTCAACTAACTCTCGCTCCCAGAAAGCATTTGGAGGGGAAGAGAAGTACAACATTCAGCTAGTTGATGAGACACAGACAGAATCTGAAGTGTGAGAAGGGGGCACAGCTGCACCTCGAGCTGTGAGAAAGTATTTAGCCTAAGGTGGAAGGAGGTGTCTGAGCCTGTGCTGGCACCAGCTCTGATACAGGCCATCAGTTCAGGCTGCTTGAGTAGTGGGACAGGGACTAGAAGTAAAATCACATTGCACACCAGCACCCTCCAAAAAAAAATATCTGTGTGCTACACCACCCTGTTCCCAGAGCACAGAGGCACTTCCTCCACAAGCAACGCAGTACCAGCACTTCCAAAAAAAAAAAAAAAAAAAGGCACCAGCCCTGGAAACGCCACTGCAGCCATACAAGGTGGGCATTCAGAGGGCAGCAGCTCAGTAAGCCTCAGATCTTTGAGAAGGAAGTCAAAAAAGTTGAGCTTGGGAAGTCCGACATAGCTGTGGATTTTGCTCCTTCAGTTGGACAGGACACAAGCCCGAGGAAAGCACCACCATGAACAGCAGGGATAAGGGAACACGGATGACAGACCAGCCAGTGCCAGATTTTGGACCAAGATACCTGCCTGAAGCTAGCTGTAAGCAAAGTAGTTGGAGACTAGATGCATCAGAGAAAGAGCAGAGAAGGGAACATGGCAAATACTGTTTCAATTGTGGCCCCAGACATACTGTGCTTGGAAAGGATTATTTCTGCTTTTTGAACTGGGCTGCAGAAACTTCCAACACAGAGCAGAGTAACTGCTTACTTATGAGAAGCTGTAGTCCAAAACTGCTTGTAAGGGAAGGAATAAGCCTGTTCTTGAAAGCAACAAGATGCTGTGACAGCAGTTTGCACAAAACAGCACAGAAGTTTGTTATAACAGACAAAAAAAAAAAAAAAAAAACCAACCATCAACAAAAAACCCCAACAACAAGAGAGCTAGGGAAGGAAGTGAGGGTGGTGGTTAGTTTTGAGTTTTCCTAGGAACAGGAGCTGACTCAGCTGACTTGAGTGCTGACTGCCCAAAACTCTGATTGCAGAAGCAATTTACACCAGGGCTTGGGATGGGGACCAAGGCCGGATGCACTCACATCTGGCCACCGATACACACATGCCCTCTTGCAAAAGACTGTTTGCTGTTCTAGCAGGAAATATGGTGCTCAGAGGCAGCTTCTCTCTCACCTCCTTCTTGAGAGATGCAGCCAGTCTTGCTACTAGTACTACAGAAGTTTAAAGAGGAGTTCTGAGAAAGTCAGCGCTGATGAACGGAGTTGAAACAGAGCCTCCGGAGACTTTGCCCCCTGCTTATCCTTAACAAGACGAGTCGCCAGGCAGGCTCTTGTTTAGCATTTTGCTTCTGTGTTTACCTTGGGACCACAGCTTCACCCAGCTCTCTGCTGCGGTCAGCTTCACTACAAACTGACTCCCAGCTTTCTACTGGACACACCTGACACACAGGGAGAGGACTGAGTTTTAGGCTCAATCCTCATAATGAATTGCATAGCTGTGTTAGATGGACATAGTGAGCATTATTCCTTGGGGACACAAGAAACAGTTACTGGAACAGTCCTTGAGTTCCAGAGACTGAGCACGAGCTGTCCAAGATAGGAAGCCTAGTTTTGAGGACCACAGCCCAGAGTAGAATTAGAGCTAGTCTAAAACACATTTCCAAGAACAGTCCAATTTCAGTGTCTTTTTCCCAGGTGCCCTTTATCTTCCACTTCCATATCAACTTTGTTGCAAGGATTAATGCTGCGCCAAACGCACAGCAGAGATTCTCATCTCCAGCATGAGAACTCAGACTGTGCTGATGCTGATCTGCAGTGATGTTCAGGCAGCAGCAGAATAACATCAGCCTGACAGACAGCAAGATGCACAAGGAACACTTCATTACACGGCAGGCTGAAAGCCTGACAGCTCAGCACTGAAGGCTGGCGGGGAACAGACCTGCTCAGCAAGACTTGCACACAGAAGAACTATTTCTTGTTCAGTAGGTAGATTTGTTTATCCCCTCTCAGAAGCTGACAGCAGAGCCTGAAGCCAGCAATCATTTACATGGGAGGAACTGGCATTCCCCAGCTCAGGGCCCTTCCTCCTGCATCTTACCACACGCCAGGAAACACCAGGCCACAAGGAGCACAGACATGTAGAACGAGATGCCAATGAACTACATCCCTGTCAGGGTGCTCCCAACCTACTCGGGGATTTCTGCTCAGCACAGGTCAAATGATCAGTTGGTAATTAAGATTCTACTTTCTCGAACAGGCTTCCAGAAAGTTAACCAGCAGAGCAGTGCTGTACCCCAAATTCCTCTAGTTACCTGACTCTTGATGCCTTGCTGAGTGATGAAGGTCTTCAGGGCCCCTGTTTCAGAGTTCTGAGGATAGCCAAAGTCCAGGATTTCTACAGAAGGGTGAAAGAAGTTTAGTTCAGAGCTGCAAGATATAAACATGCCAACCATGCTAATAAGTCCTACAAGGAGCGAGCCAATTAGTGCATAGACACTGCTTACACATTAAATTTCTGGATAAATTGCTGGAGTATTCCTTACCAAGGGAAAAGAAACAGATTAAAGTACTAGACTTACTTCCCTGTGCAATATTTTGGAGGGGAGAGGTGATGGAAAACTGTTCAACCGATGAATTTGCTGGGTTTTAACTACAATTGCACTTCAAGACTAAACATCAACTAGTCTAGCCATGTGCACAGGGCACATTGAGGAGTTTTTCCAAAAACATCCAAAGGACAATAAAGAGGGTTTATCCAACAGCAGAGCAATCTATCTTCACAGCATTTTCTTTATGTTTTAATTTTTATTACATCTTCATGAAAAAATCAAAACCTAAAGAAAATAAAATAACAGCAGAGTAGCAGCGCTGCAGGATGATCAGTGTGGGAAACAAGCACTAACTGCAGACAGCCAGTGCACTTAACCCCCACTCCCCTCAAAAAGGAAGGGAACAAACCAGAAGAGATTTAGAGGGGAGGGAAGATCACTAACATGATTCTGAGGAACATCACACCGGCAGGTTTTACTGTCCCCGTTTTACTGTCCCTGTGCCTGCTAGGGGACAGCAGTGACTGACCAAAGCAGAGAAACAGCAGCCTCTTGGTCTGCCCAGGGGGAAGAGAGACACCACCAGTCACTATGACCCTGGGCTAAGAACCCCAGGACACACACACATGGTGCCTCGTCCAGAAAACAAATTGCAGCAGAGCTAATATCAAGTGTTCATGTTATGCCAAACAGGGACAGCTCAAGGGCAATCTCCACAAACAGGCTGATATCACAAGCAGCTGAGGGACACTGTATTATTATTCTATGGGAAATCTGGAGCTGTATCACTGGGGGAGGTAGGGCTAGGACAAAGCAGGCTGGGTTTTATCAATTTCCCTCTGTCTCAGAGCTGCCCCTAAGAGGCAACCCAAGAAAGGCAACCAGCTGCAGCCCGGGGTGACTGCTAGAGCCACCTGGGCACTGTCTGGGCTGGCTGGCCGGCCTTGGAGGCGCTAACGATAGCCCTCTTTATCTACCTGAGTATAATGACAGCCCTACATCTGCACAGGATCCACTCAGGAGCTGGGGTCCAGTACCAGCTGCCTCGTTTATACAAGTGCACAGCTCCCAACACTTCGCAAAGTGAGCCACCACCAGCAGAAAGCTATGGGTTTGAGATGTTATCTACAGTTACAGTACAGGGGGCATTAGAAAGCAGAACAAGTAATTCTGAACTCAGTCATGCATGTTAAGAATACTTCAAGGATTATTACTACATCAAACTGAGCTAAGGGTTTTAGAACAACCAAGTGCAATATCACATAACAGATAAGGGAAATGTCTCACCATCCAGTAGCTCATAGATCAGCACAAAGTTGTTCTTTATGTTCTCCTCACTGATCTTCCCGAAGTAGGCAGTCATCACGTCACACATCTTGTAAAGAAACTCGAATACCATGGCAGCGTTGACATTCTGCTTGGTGACAGCAGCCAGCCAGATGTTGGAACGCTTGACATGGAAGAAACTTGTGCGGGCGATGTTGGTGACAGGCGAGCGTACCTGCTGCCGTGCGTGGATGACATTGACGCGGAAGGCGTCGACAGCGTTCCGCCTACGAGACCGTCAGAGGGAGGTTAGCACAGCACACACCGAAACAAGCACAGCTCTGCTCATGCCATTACAGTCAGACACTGAACTACACACACTAAGCTCTCTCAGGAAGGGTGCCTGGGGTGACTAAGAGAGGTAAGTGAAGGCTCCGAGCAGAGTTAGACGCTAAATTCTGCAAAAACTAAAGGAGAGACAAAGCACTACTGGTCTCTAAGGAACTCTGGACTACAGGGTAACTGTGGTCAGAAAGAGAAGCTAATCTCCATGTAAAGTCAGATGGCAAAGGAACCTTGCCTTCAATTGATTTTGCGAGCACTCAAAATGGATTGCCATAGCTGGGAACAAACATGGTAGTAGCTATGGCTCAAGGAGCCCAGGTTTGACTGAACACCTAGCTGCTGTCTACTCTGCGTGCCCAGGCCTTCACACTCCTGCCCCAAAGCAGGTTGTAGTCTCCCAAGGTATTTGTCAGTAGCACTTCCTCCCAGACATGCCACTGAGAAAAAACCAGCAAAGCCCAGTTGGGTCACCTGAGGGAAGTCAGTACCCAGGGACACCCCAAAAGAAAGCTGGAGTTCTCAGACCCACCTCACCTCCATACCCCAGGCACCTGAGAGGGCAGCTCAAAGCAGCAAGCAGGATTAGGAACATTTTTGGCTTTCCAGCTACACATCCTCTCAAGCCCGCTAGGCTTCAGAAGAGGTCTCCCATACACGGACGTAGGGTCCCCACAGTGCCACGTGCCAGCAGCAGAGCGTTACGTGCACGGGATGGTCCAGTACCATTCCCAGCAGAGGTTCTGCAGTGCTGAAGAGGCGCTGTGCCAGGTTCCCCAGCTGCTGCCAGCTTACTCCAAACTGTCTACACACTAGTGACAGGGAACAAAAAACCCCTCCTGGGTGAACAAGGGTGTCTGAGTGGCATTCTGGAAACTAGAATTTCCTTATCCGGTAGCGACAAGTCAGGATAAACTTCCCAAATTAAGTTAAAAGTCCACCAAATCCAAGAACATAGGAAGGAAGCCTGAGTGCTACACATGAAAACACTGAGACCTAAAGCAATAGTCTACACACCAAGCCAAGACTCATCTAGTTGTGCTTTATTTCTCACACTCTTAGACATTACATAGAGCAGGGGGTCTTGACTGCAGCACCAAGGCCACAGTACTGAATCTGCAGAATCATGTTTGAGAGCAGACAGTAATAACATCCTTGCAAGCAAGGATACAGGCTTACAAATGTTCATAAGCATTGAGGGTTGTCAACAATCCAGCAGACAGTTCCAAGTTTGAAAACAAAGGATATTCAAAGGAACATATGGTACCACAGCAGGTATTCGCTCCTTGAAGGTCCGGGTACTTATGTAGAAGCTTCATCAGTAAACACGCTCCCCCATAAGCAAAATTCTGGCCTTCAAATACTTCTCAGTTTTTATCGCTCCAGAAGGTTGGCAAGTTTGAGTTAAATTAGTATTTCATTACTGCTTTAGTTTTTCCCATAAGTAATTTAAGCTACTATAAAATAACAATATCCAAAAGCCCCATTCCTCCCCTTCAGTAAGCCCTTCTGGGAAGTTCAGCTTCTTCTGGAGCATCAGCCCTTCCCACCTTGAGTTCTAACCCACCAGAACTAGTACCATAACCAGCAGCCAGGCTGGGGCACGCTGGAGGAGAAGCCTGGGATGGGTACAGCCTCTCTAGCCCACCAGTCGCCCGCTCTGTAGTGCCAGTCACGGGCTACCACGCGTCTCTTACCTATTGCTACAGCGGCCAATGAGATGGGATGGACAGAAATGGCGCCAGCGGAGAAAGGAGGAGTGACAGCAACAAGAGAAAGGGTTAGAAACACACACACAAGGCACAATGAATCCAAAGAGATAAGGAGAGACCAAACAGCACCCCCCTCCCTGCTCCTGGGCACAGTGGAGCACTGGATGGACAGGAACAAGCTGTGGCAGCAATGGAGCCCTGGCAAGGTACAATGCTGACATGCCGTGGCCAGGCTGCCAGTGCAGACAGACTCATGTCTGGCTGAATTTTAGGGCTAACTGGGCATTTAGTGCAGAGGAGTCACATCCGTATCACATCAGTGATACCAATCTGCTCTGCTAATACACACAGCAGGCCTTGGGGGCGGGGGTAAAACCCCCAAGCCTCAATCCGAGTGTCAGGTATCTTCCTTCGAACAGGACGGCAAGTCTGAGCGGGCATTTCTAAGAGAGTACTCCTTGTTGAAGCTGTTTGGGTTGATGCTTTCTGGCTTGGTCCAGCCAACAGGAAACACAGCAAGTTCGATAGAGCTGGAGCACATCTGGAGAGATATGGCATATCCTGCCAGTTCAGACACTGCTCTATCCAGCTCGCACTTTTTCTTTAAGGATCAGGAGCCATGAAGCCAAAGTGATGTATTAGAAGCTCAGAAACCAAAGGCCTATTATGTTTAAAGTGCATGCAGTTTGTCATGTAAGCTGCTCAGTTTCAAATATATTATTTTTATTAAATAGCTACATTCTTAAATGCAGGTAGGTTCTCCCAATGACTACGTCACTGAAGAACAAGGCACTTGATCAAAGTAGAGCCCTCCTGAATTAAATGCATAACGCTTTGCCTTTTTTTTTTTTTGAGGCTGCTTCTGCATGCAGCTAGCTGCTGTATGGACAGATGCACTACATGCACTAAAGCCATTCTGAGTTGCAAGCAAAGAAACTCCAGGTTTTGTGGTACGTCTGCCTTTAACAGTGTCAAGGGAAAGGTTTCTTCATTGACTATCCCTTCGCTCATTAACATTTGAGCTAGAATGCACTTATTTAGACTCTTAAACTATGCAAGGAGAGGGCTTCCCATATCCACAGCTAACCTTTAATCTCTCCCCACACACAGACTGAGGCTTCAGAATGCCAAAGGCAAGTGCCGAGCCCAAGTACCCTTATGGGTCAATCACTTGTAGCCCACATGAAGACAGGCAGCAGCTACAGATACATGGAATTGTCTAGGTTAGAAAGGACCTTTCAGATCATTGTGTCACGAGCTATGCTCACTTCCCACTCAACCTACCTCCCACCAACCTGGGTGGGCTCAGCCATCAGCACTTCAGATCCATCGTTTAGGAACTAACGATGGAGTGTTCTAGAAACCTATCCCGTTGGTTGGAGACAGAGCTCCCACAGAGCTAAGTCCAAGCCACAGTATCACGCTGTTCCTTTCTCTGCCTCCCTCTGCAGGTTCAGATGCTAAAAAGCTTTTGAGCAGCCCTGGTATTGATGCTAGTGTTCAGAATAGGAAATGGCAGATATCCAGACATTCAGCTTGCTATAGAGCTGAAGATTCTCAATTACTTGATTACACCACAAGATGAGACACAGCCATCGTAAGACAATTTGTTTTATAAGGTTATGCATCTAAAAAGTTCAAAACCAGGTTTGAAGGCCTCTTTCAGAGGGAATCCAACACCCTGGGGAACAAACTTGGTTAACAGCCAGCACCAGCTCCACCTAAGTCACAAGAGTGACACTTTCACAGGAACTGAATAGCGGATTTCACTCAAGGGAACACTGACTCCTGAAGTCCTGGAGAAAACACTTGAATTGTTTTGGCACCTTTTGCCAAATGAAAAAGTTAAGATAGCATCAGGCAGGAAATCCCATTTGCTAGTTTTGCCTGGCCAGCTGGCAGGAAATATTTATCACTTACTGAACACAAGTCACTCACTTTATGAGAGGAACGAGCCAAGATAAAAAGCTATAGAAGATCACCACATTAAAAATAACTACTTCTCTCCCCAGTTTACTTCTCTACAGTCAGAATGCTCTTTTAATTAAAAGGCCTTCTTGAATAAACATCAGTTCGAGCACAATCCTACCGTTAAGTTTTCAACCCACAAAAAGGACATTTTTTTGCCAGAAACTGCAGTAACAGTGTCCCTCACCCCCCCAACATATTCTCAAAATTTATCTGTAATCCAGACTGGCTCAGCACAGTCACTGTGATACCTGCTCATTAGGGGAACTTCACAAAGTCATGTGAACTGCTGGCACATCTGGCATATGAACTGCTCTGAAGAGCTTCAGCTAACAAGTGTTGAAGACTGAAATGAGCTAGGATAGCAGAGGAGAGGCAAAACATTGCAGCCAGCAGTGCTCTGCTTCAGAAATACCATGCTTCCATGACTCAGTGCTGTGTGGAAGTCCTGGAATAACAGTCAACCTTAGAACAGCTACTTTACTCTGCCTTAGTTGACTTTGAACAAACCAAGAGATGGGAAGCTCATTAGGTGAAACCTTATTACAGACACTGTTGACAGCTACCCTATCAACAGGCAGTGCAAGCCTTGACTAGCTACTAGTTCTGCCTCAACTTCTAACCTCCACTAGACAATCCACAACCAGAAGGGACACGCTCATCAGACTACAGTGGTTTGAAGGCAGACTGGCTTGACAGTTTTTTTGTAATTCATGGCAACGAGTTATTTCACTGCACATTCTACCATTATTCATTGTGTAGACCTGGTGCAAACTTTTTCCTAGACTGGCCAGAGGGATCCCTCTCATTGGGCTTTGAATTAACACGTACCACAGCCCTGCTTCCCTTAGCTATGCTTTCACTCTGTTCGCTTCAATTAACTTCAATGAACACCCACTAGGAAGAGTGGTAGTGTGCAAGAAAGACAGCATGACCACTCTGTATCAGGTTCCTACAGCACTATCCACTGTCTTTAAGACACCATATTTTTAGTAAGGTCCCTCTGGGAATTAGCAGCCTAAGGACCGTACAGATTCATTCTAAGCAAGCATGATAACACTCGTGTGAAGTACGAGACACCTACACTCTACTGAAGGCTTTCAGCACTTCCACAACTTTAATTGCCCAAGGTATGTAAGCTCTTCACATACAAGGCTGCCATACAAAGCCAGGGGACAGAAAGCCAGCTTTATGTGTACAGCCACCGTTACTGTGAGGCTCCTTGCAGAAATAACTTTCCAAGACCATAGACAGTCTTCTGCGTGCCTGTACTGGATGCTAGATATCCGTGTCTGAAACTAATTCAGAGCCCTGCTCATAGTGCATGACAGACAGTTCCCATGTTACTGCTCCCATGAAGTTTTCCCAGTGGCAGTGAGACTGGCACACTCCTGCAGTGCCAGTGTCGCTGAAGCATCTGGAATAACATTCAGATCTCTACCATCTATAAGAAACTCCCAGGTTTGTCTGCAGGCCATCCTTTTCTACCATCTGTAGGTGAACCAGCGTTTAACAAACTCTTTTTTTTCCTGAACTAAGCCTAGAGCAGCAAGTCGAGATGCCGTCTTACATGCATGCACAGCTAATGCAGAACAAAGCAGCTCTGGGTTGTTGTTCGCACCAAAATGAGACAGAAATGCAAAGACCAGGGATGCAAGAGAAGCACTTACCCGATGTCATCCCGGTAGACTCGAGAGATTAAAACCTCTCCTTTGTGGTTATAGATGAATAAACCTCCAATCATGGTGGAATTTTAGTCTTCTCTTCCCATGTTGCTTAAGACCTGAAGCAAGAGAGGGCACATATCAGTAGGCTGCATGGCAGCAAGCAGCACGGCACACACAGACTCTGACACAGCCACCACACACCCCGTGACACACAGGGCTCTGAATGTGACAGCAAATTGTAGCCAAGACCAAAGCGTAAAATTAGCACTGAAATAGATGGAGGGTTACTTCTCATGCCACTCACCAGCATGGACAGATCAAGCCTCAAGAACTAGTAGTACCTGGTCTATTCCTTGAATGTGAGAAAAAACACAGGCCTGGAGCCACAAGCGAATCAAAGACCCTTCATTTATACTGTAAAGCCAAGTCACTATCTCCCCAGTGACCGAGATACAAATCAGACTCAATTCATAGGTAAATCTTCTTGCACGCAGTTCACACCAGCATTTGAGATGCCACCAAGCCTATCCCTGTACGTCAGGGGGTTCTCAGCAGCACATACACCTTGGCTTACAACCACTTTTACATACTTTTTATAAATCCATGTTACAGCCTTTGCCGCTCCCAAGCAGCGGTACTGAGGAACACTTGGGAGCCCAAACTGAGAGAGTCTGCCCACCCCAATGACACCTTGTGGTCCATCTCAACCACGGCCCACTTTAACTGGGGTCTCAGAAGTTACACTCTTAAACTGCTCATCTTCTCTTTCTTCAAAGGAAGGTTGTTTTGAAGAGAGCTACAAAGATGGGAGACATTGACGTAGAAGCCAGATCCTTCACCGGATCCCATCCCTGTAGTCACATGCACTCTACTCACTCAGGTCCAAGTTCCAATACCTGCTCCAGCAAACGCTCGGCTGGCTTAGAGCAGAGAGAAGCACTACACCTGTGACAGCAAACACCTCCTCACGTGTCTGGGGAGGATCCCAGAGGCATCTCTCCGCTTCGGTGCTGCGGAGCCACAGATAACCAGCCATCTCCACACTGCTGCCAGGGCGGGGGAGCTACACCCACTGCTCTGGGGCGGGTGGAACGGATAGGGGCCAGCCTAGGGAGAGACACTGACCAACTCCTATGTGTTTGCTCAGGAACACAGCAAAAACAAAGTTAAAGTGACCTAGCCCCAGATCGTCTCACAGGTCGGGGGGAAAAAACCCCACACACCCACAGAAGCAATACACACATTAGAGGGACAAAAGAACATCCAGGGCAGAAGCCTGAAGTATCAAGAGTAACAGATCCTCTAGAAGTTATGTTCAAGAAACTAAAGTAGCTGCCTATTTGAAGGGACTACTGCAGACCTCAGCTCTGTGCTAGAACTCAAGATTTACAGTGCAGCATCTACTCTGAATTTCAGAAAGACAAAAAAGAAACTTTAAATTTTGTAAGCCTTTACAGCAACATTTTTAGCTACGCCTAATGAGTCCTCAGAGAGTAACATTACACATATTTCCCTGCTATGGGTCTTCAGCTACCAGATGGCTGCTTCTGCTCATTAAAAGGGAAAACAAAAAAAGAATCAAAAAGTCAGTCAAGTCAAAACAGCAAGGAACAGACGAGCAGTTTTCCCAGAACTCAATGGTGAGCTTCCCAGCCTTCACCCCCACATTCTGCTGGGCAAGTGTCTCTGGCCACCAACAGGCTGCCTCCTGCCACTTGTCAGTGGCTTCGCCTGGCACTGTCATCAACATTTTTTGATGTCTGAGATTCCATCTTGCACAGAACAGGTTTCCAAATATGTTTTTCTTCCAATCCCATTGGTGACACTTAATAAATTCAGGATACCAATATTTCACATGGGTGCAGGATAAGTGTCTGTAACCAAACCCGCTGAGACAGGCAGGTCCCAGCCGGAGACTCCTGGGCAGTCACCTCCAGGAGAGCTTCTGCAGCTGCTCAGGGTCCCACGTGGGCAGCAAGGCCAGCGTCCCCAGCCAGGAGACAGGGACAATCCTGCTGGTCAACAGAATAAAAACAGATTCTCCAGTTTAACGAAGCATCTGTATACAGACTCCTGATCTGGAACACACGCGGCCCTAACAGGCATGCTGGAGGCTACAGAAAGGCAACCTGAGGGCTAGAACCCAAAACAGGAAGAATATCTGAATGCAGTTGCCCATCAGCAGTTCAGCATCAGCTTCAGCCTGGCAGATGCTGAAGCTGTAACTCAGCAAACATTCAAAATGTCATTCACACAGGCCAAATGATGGAGGAAAAAAACCCAAAAGTACCATTGTGACAATGAAAGCAACTTGTTACCCAAACTCTAGGAAATTCTTTTCTAATTAGCATTTTTTCATTCCAGATAAAAGACAAGGATGCCTGTTGAGACTGCTAGTGCTGGCTTCCACATTTGGATATGGCCTGCTGCTACCAAAGAAGAGTTCCTGCATCCTCTTTAAGACCCACATTGTACAAAATAGTTTCCTAGAAGCTTATGCAACTGGCAAAGCTGGATCATATGAATCCCACAAACCCTTTCCAGAAGATTACTAGAAAGTTCATACTAATCTTAAAAAAAAAAATAATAATCTCCCTCTTGGGTTTTAATGCCGCTTAAGTAATTTGTTTCACTATTTTTAGCATAAAGGAAATGTCTGCTTTGATGAGCAACAGGATCAGACACACATCATACATAGCCTCTCGCTTCGCATGACAGGCCAACTGCTTTCTGAAAAAGCCTTGATTTGAATATTTACTACATCACTATAGAACATGTACAAGACTGCTGACCAAGCTTTATGTTGGAAATTAAAAGCTTCCTCTTAGCAAGATCTACAAACTTTAAATGGAGATTGAGATAATGAGGCTATGCTTTCTCATAGAACACATTCTATGATGGCTTCACTCAAGTTACAGGCAAAAATATCAGCATTTTTAATTGCATCACAGTAGTAGGCAGCAGAGTCAACTGCTTGCTTAGTTTATACTTTAGTTAAAACAGGTTAGGTAGAGATTAGACAGAGCGTGATTAAAGTGCTTTTAGTCTTTAAAAAATTCTTTGTTAATGCAGAGAAATGCTAGACTTCTTCCTTATACAAACATACTGGGAACTGAGTTCAGGCTTCAAACTTTCCACGCAGTCACCCCCTAACCAGCTTCCTTTGAAATTTAAGAGCATATCTGTAGCTCGGGGTCTTGCCTCCAATGTCACCAATGAAGGGACAGTCAGGTAACAGTGAGGACAGGTCAAGAAAACACTCCCCAGGAGACCCTCTTGCAATGGCCTGTTTATGTCAGAAGTCTCAATGGATCTCTTTACAGTATTTGCCCAGCCTCCTCGCAGATCTCTGCATCAGCAGCATCCCATGGAAGAAAAAAAAATAAATCTACAGTTTTATAATCACTGTATAAAACACCTGCTTTAAGCCTCCTTTCTCTTCCTTCCTCCAGCTTCTTTAATGACCCCAGGAACCAAAGAGGGCTCAAGTGCACAAGGTATTTAACACAATTATAAGCAGATCTCCCTTGCTCTGCATGGCTTCTGCAGCCCAGCATCTTGAAGTATTCCAATCACAGCACAGCAGCATCCACGTGGCTGACAGCAAGCTAGGTTGGGTGCAGTGTCGTTCCCTTGCTCAGGGAACACAACATCCCAGTCTCCTGCTGGAGCCCTGCACCGCATCCCTGACAGACAGGATGCCAGTGACCACACTCCCACCCTGGGCAGCCACTGCCACCAGCTAATGGAGCGTGTCCACGCACCGGAGCTGAGTGACCAGCCCAGAGAGATATGAACAGACCCGAGCAAAGCCACACAAAGGGCAGCATGCAAAAGAAAGTTCCTTAAAGCTCAGCAGGAAGAATGGCTCCTTAAGACAATGATGGCTCCCCTTGAAGTGAAAATAAGCCTGCTTTGTTTTGATCATCATTTATGTTTCCGTACAAGTTTCACAGATACTGGTGTCAACTATTTCAAGGTTACACTGCAACTAGAGCGAGGTTTTCAGTGGTACAGTTCACACTCGGAACGATCTTCCACATGTTTTTAAATAATGACTAGTTTTCAGATCAGCTTTGAAAATGAAAGATCCTAGTGTGTGCAATGGTTAAGAACCACAGGGAACGGGGCTTAAATTAATTTGAGACTGACATTCAGTGACTCATGGCTGCTGGAATCAGAAGGGCCCAGAATAAGAAATCCACCACAGTGATGGATTCGTCTGCTCACAGTGCATAAGGGACATGACTCAGAACTCGTCCCAGTATTGCTCAATCAGCTTCCAGTGACTCACTCCGCTCCTCTCCAGTCAGCCTTTTCTAGGGAGCTTGCCCTATGCTGGGTTTGAGCTTCCTCAGGCTGATAGCTCATTGCAAGACTCCATTCAAGAGCAAAGCCCATCACTTTAACTGTTTATCAGTAAGTGCCTGAAAACCCAAGCTGGCTCTAGCTGAAGCTTGTGGGTTAATGGTCCATCAACTGCATTTTCAAAAGTTTGCAGCTCTGCTCCTTCTGTTTCACCAGCCTGAACATATGGCGACCCGCTCCACAGTGCGAGCTACAGCCCTGTCTTCTAGTTATAATATGGATGGATTTATTCTAGTTAAGGTAAAGAGAACATCCACGTGTATGTGGAATTCACACCAGTTGGTGACTAATCGCCTTAATTTAGGAACAACAGACATCTCCCAATACACTTTGCATTCTTCAAGCAGCTCCATACCGGGGTGGGAGCGAGATCTAAAATCTGAATGCTGCTTCTGCAAATACCTAAGGCCAACACACTTCCTACTCTGCTGCCAAGTACTCGCACTCCCATATACTTCTATTTCAACCCATAAATAGAAAGGAAAAGGACCATGAAGACCTTCATAGACAGACCACATACTTACACACACTTATAAACCCAACAGGAGTTAAGGAGACTGGAAATGCCTTTCCAAATCACATTGTCACTTGAGTGACTAGGTGAACATAAGATACACCTTTACAGCAACTGTGGCAAACTTACAACAGCAAGACAGCAGCCTCCAAAAAAGCATGTGTGTAAAACCAAAATGCTGTGATGCGGATTTGAAAGCGTTTCAGCAGTTACATAAGTGAAAAGCAGCAGGATTAGCCGGGCCTGCGACAGCTGACATGGGAACCTTCTTACAAGAATCAAGAGTACTCCTCTCAAATCACCTCACTGCTCACGCTGCGCAGGGCACAGGCACTAGGGAGCATCCCTCTCCCAAATCCTCATGGTGCATCAGACAAAGCCCCAGGTGCCAGTCTGGAGCAGGTCAGCTACAGACCACAACCAAGGCTCCAGACAAAGATAAGGATGCAATAAAGCATCTCAAAACCTGCTTTTGTCCACTGATTATACCCCATAAGGAAAATGCTATTTATGAGGTCTGACCTAAAGACAGGTGGTTCTCCAAAAGCCATCAGACTTCGCCCTCTGAGACGTACGCTGTGCCACACACGGCGAGTGCGCAGGTGCAGTCAGGACCCTATGGCTGGGCTGTCGGCAGCTTCACATCCTGGGATGAATTCTCATTAGAGCTACCCAGTGAGATGATGAGCTAAACCTGCATTTGGCAAGTGAAGATTTAGCAGCTCCCCCCTGCAGCACACAAGAGTCCAGCCTTCCGTCTCCATTGCCTCTTTGTGGATTCTGACCCAGAACAGCTGTAGAAAAATGAACACAGAGCATGGAGCTCTCAGACTAAACAAAGCAGATGTGAGGAACGGACTAACAAGTATAGTTTCCTCCCTCTGCAGCGGTTGGTTTGTATCTGCAGCAACTCTTCCAGAAACACCACAGCAAACAGAACCAATTCTCCAGTCTCTGTCCAGTGCACCAACCTCCCACAGTCTCTCTGCTGGAGAATCTACAGCATCACACCAGTAACAACACACCACTGTAGTACCACAGTCATCTGTTCATTACCCTATGAAAGACAAAGCTGAATTCCAGCCTAAACCCCAGATATACAGACATTCACACAACTGATTTTCTGCAATACTTTTGCTCCATAACCTGAAGTCTTTCAGGTGACACCACGTAGGCCATTAATTTTTCCCTGCACCAGCAGAAACAGCCCTACCTTCAGCCCACACCACAGACTACGGAACACAGCTGTCTGCCTTTTGCAGTTGTATTTACACAAATGAAAACAAACAAACAAAAATAATAAAAAGAAACCACCAATTTGCTCACATTCATTGCTTAGGAAAAATCATGAACTGTCAGTCAGTTTTCTGCAGCAGTACAAGGCAACATGGCTGCAGTAACTGCGGCCTCACACCCAGGCAAGAGGTGTACGTCTGGAGGAAACACGTCATTAGCAATGTCCCTACAGCCTAACGGTACTGGAACCACCATAAACCTGAGTAAATCAGTATTGCCTCAGGAAAAAGCAAATGCACCAGTTTCTTTAAGTTCAGTGCAGGAGCTGCGGAACTCGAGTCAGGCCTGGTGATTATGACAGCAGGTCTGCTCAGCAGACCCCCCCTCTCTCCTCAGAGATGCAGTGTTAACACAGCAGCTTGAGAGCAGCCTGACAGCGGGGACAGGAGCTCTCACACTGCCCCGAACAGCATAGCTACAGTTTCACATTACCACCCAAGCACCAACAGCCTTGGGATTTGGCGAGCACTGGCAGCATCCTGGTGACCCTGAGTGCATTTGTCCATTCTCTTTAGAAGGCGCCTCTGGGACCCACTGGATTTCACGACGCCAGCTGTGTGGCTGCTGCTCTCACTGCACACACCTCCCCAGGAGAGCCTGGCACTACAGCTGGTGAAAATAATCACACGACACGGTCTACCAGTCACCTTAAACTCAGCCACTGAGGCTGGATCAGCAGAGCTGAGGGGACCCCTTGCCCACAGACCCACTGCCAGACAAGCCATCGGCTTCCCCAGGTTTCCTCTGCCATCAAACACAGGGTATGAACAAACACAAGATGGACAGTGGTGAGCGCGAGACCCAGCTGCTCTGGGCTCTGTCACTCCCATTCAGGGGCTGCAAGTTTCCCAGAGCACAGGCATCGCTCAGTTTGAATGAAAACAGGAATGCTTATTTCTCTAATCTACACAGCACACCTAGGAAACAGCAATCACAAATCAGTTAATAAGCTTGGGTAAAGCAACCAACCCATTTAGTAGTCTATTAAAAGAAAGTTTGAGTTCTGACTTAACAGTAAGACAGACTTCTGTGCATTAATAAGCTTATCTAACTAAGCAGTTCAAGGTACATTAGCTGCCAGCGTTCTCATCCAGGAAGAAGCCAGGAGAGGTATCGCAGCTCCCACACAGAGGGCGAGGGTAAATCACCAACTGTAACCATTTCTGCATTCCAGAAATCAGTATGATCTTGGACGAGTGACAGCAGTTGAAGCAGGAGGGGGATTAGTCAGGCTGCTCTGGCAAAGTGGAGTTATTCAGAAAACCAGTCTTTTCAGGCTAGTGCTAGCCATTATCAAACCAAAAGGCTTAAAGCTTACAACAACGTCATCACCCCATTGGCTAATCCCAGCATCTAAGCTTTGCTTAGAGGGCTGTATTAGCCACTTTCGAGGAGGCCACAGGCTGCACTTGGTTTTAAACAAGAGTAGCTGCAATCGCTTCATCCTAGGGAAGACAGGCTGTATAATTTAATTAAGTGGCATACCGTGAGCTAAAGAGCTACTGAGATAAACCCATCAGTTCCAGAGAAACCATTCCTATTTTAAACCCAATCCCATAAATCCCTATAACCAGTGGGCAGGAAGAGAAGCATGTTCAACTCCTGCCAGGCTCTCCTCCTACAGTCTACTTCTGCATGCCATACTGCACACAGCCTGTCTCAGAAGTAACGAGAGATAAATACCGACACAGGGGAACACGACAAGCTCCCTTACCCCAGTAAAACAGCACAGGAACAGTGTTTAACACACCTCTCCACCTTATTTTCAGTCCAACCTTATCTGAACAGAATGTCTTTTTCCATTTCTACCAGTCCTTCCAAGGCAGTTTTAAACTCAGTCTGAAGCAACATCTACTTGCTTTTCACTCTTGAGCTAGAAGCCTGAACCGTGACTTGCGTTCTGTTCATCTTCTAACAGAAGAGGTTAGAGACGGGGACTACAGTTTGAGTAACAGCTTATGTTCTGCAGACCAGTAATGGTCCAGGTGCCTAGACTCCTTTCTCTACTACTGCTGTAGAGCAAATAACTGTATTTCACATTCTGTGCCTCAACCTACAAGCTTTTAGCGGAGCTTCCAACCTCCAGCTGAGATGAAAATAATAAATCGCTTGCTAGCGACTTTTGACTCGGTAGGTCATTCACTAAAGGAGAGAAGCTGACTCTGCCACGCAGACCAATTATATTTTGGCACCCCAGGCTGTACTTCTCTCCATCCTCTACTTATTCCTAAGAGCAGCCTTTAAATACTCTAATGGCTTTTAGTAGCATAAGCTTAGAAAAGCAGTGTGAGATGTGATGCAAAGGACAGTCTTGGCTTTATCATTTTTTTGATGTATGGATGAGATAAGAAGAGCATAACTAGGGTCACAGGAAGTTTCTTTACAAAGCCGATTTTGTTTAGTGACTGTTCCCATTCAATCAAAAAAAAAAAAATACTGTCAAACCAGAGTGCATTTCCACTCATCTATGCTTAGAAGAAGTCAAGATGTAACCCTTCACTGCCTCAAGACTCGACTCTTCAAATGTCAGAATTGTGTTCTCTCTGCAGGAGGAAGCAGCCAGCCATAATACCCTTCACAGATCTTTCAAATGCTCTCCCTGCGAGAAAACATGGCCAGTTTGCAGCCCAAAGGATGCCAGGTATCTTTGTCACTAGATGTCAGTAATATGGCACTTCCCACAGAAAAGAAGTGATGCCTCCCTTCTGACAGAGAAAATACGGAAGTCGGCGGTTTGGCAACATCTCTGCAGATTAGAGACTGTCCCTCCAAGCAAAACTTGCAGGGACAAGTACAGCTTTTACTATAGGAAAAAAAAAGCAGCCACAGCTCCAACAGCATTCAAGCAAATGTTGCCCAACCAGACACGTGAGCCCATATGCAGTCAGAAACCTGCAATACCCAGACTTCCGAGCCACAGAAGCCATCCAGACTCACCTATCTGGGAAAGTTCCAGGCTCGGATTTTGGCAGCCTGAGGCTAAAACTTGATAGCAGCTTTGTCATACTAAAGCAAGCAGAAAACAGATCATGGAATCACACAGCTTATGTGGAGAAGTCTAGATCAAAAGCAAGTCATTTCCTAGTAGGGAGAGAAGTCAATTGCACCGGACAATAAGCAGAGGCTGCATTTCCTGCAGCTTTGCTGAATGCAAAAACCCAGCCCATGGCAGAATGGAAGTGGAAACACATCGATAAGAGCCGCTGGATAAAAGGCCGCTTTAAGCCTCAGAACAAGCACAGTTCAGCATCAGCAGTGCTACATTCTGCCTCGGCAGGTTTTCCAGGGAGGGAGGAAGGTAGAGGGTGCAAGACATGACCAAGCTAATTCACGTTGGTATCAGCATATCAGCAAAACAGGCAAAGCATTTTAGGGGAAGTTCCTGCCCGATCTGACGGCCAGACCTTTGCTCGGGCTGACCCGGCACAGCGGTGCGGGCCCTCCCCGGGCGTCCTCTGCCGCACGGAGCCCGGCTGTCCCCACCCTCGCCCGGGCAGCACCGCAGGGCTGACACCCCAGATATTCTAGGTAGACAACTAGTTAACAGAAACAATTAATAAACCCCCTCGAACCCAAGCAACATGCGAGCGGATGAGCCAGTCTCGGCGGGGCTGGGGTCGCCCAGCGCCCCCCTCACAGGGGGCTGAGGAACAGCCCTCCCGGGGGAGCCCCGCTTCCCTCCCACACGGCTGCGGGGGACACCCGCGCCCCCCCTCAAGGGCGGCCGGCAGGGACCGAGCCCCGCAGCAGGGCCCCGCCAGGCCTGTCAAGGCCGCGCCCCGCGCGGTAGGCCCGCGGACCCCCACCCCGGCCACCGCCGAGGGAGCCGCCACCCGCCGCAGCTCGGCCAGCGCCCGGGCGCGGCCGCGG